TTCAAAGTCAAGGCAGATGACATGGTGGTCATTACAGGATATCCTATAAAGAGTATACCAAATTTGATGGAAATGATGGAAATAATTAGTAATTATAGAAATGTGGTAGGCTTCAAGATAAACAAAGAGAAATTGATGTTTTTAACTAAAAACCTTTCAAAAACAATATTGATGTCAAGACCCAGGCGAACCAACGAGGCAAAACAGCAGCTTAAGGGTTAACAAAAGGTGTTTAATGGCAAATTAACAAGTCAAATGACTCTTATCAGCAGAGCGTGTAAACAAAAGAGCCTGCGGCTTGCAGGAATGTAAACAAGGCAGCAACCAGTCCAGTCAAGCTCTTCATCATCACTTTCAGACTTTCAACTAGTCCAGTCAAGCTCTTCATCATCACTTTCAGACCCGTAGCTATCTGCTATCTCTTTAAGACGCTTGGAAATGGATTCCTCATCGCTATCTGAACTGCGTGCTACTCGCTTTACACCATGGTAATCCTCCATCTCCATCTCCTCATGAGTAAACCCCTGACACTCTTCCCCATCACTAGATTCTAGGAACATGTCCCTAATGCGCTTCAGCTGCTGCTGAGCGTCTTCCTCTTCCAAGCCTCGTTTCCTCCTACTAGCACTAGTAGATACATGAGGCACATGCTGAGTTACAACAATTGATAAACTGAAGAGCTTATCAGCTCAAGGAAAGTTAATTACCTAAGAATATGGATAACTAATAAAAACAATAATCTATTTCAAGACAACTATGGGAAAGCATGGAAGGAGTTCAAAAAAGATCTGGAAAGATGACAAAGGTTGGTGAGAACAGCAGTGATAAAAATGATGATTGTTACCAAAATGTTGTTTTTATTTCAAAAATGTCTCTGTTCCGACTTACATAAACATTCAACTTAGGAACAAACCTATAGAATCTGTCTGTAAAATAGGGATTGCCTGTTATGACCAATCCCTATGTGACATCCTAGGTGGTATGAAGTGCAGATATCCACATAAGCAGTCACTGTACTTTACACGGAATATTTTCCAAGAATGTTCATGGAACATATTGACATGTATATGAATTCGTGAGGCATGCGGAGTTTCCAAGGTGCAATATTTTAGGAAGTGAAGTCATATATACCGGCCATGGAAGGCCTCAGATACAGTAATGCACAAACCATAAGGGAAGACAGATACTGCCCTTTAGTAGAATTTTGATCCTCACTTCTCAGAATTTTTTTCAAGTACCAGATTTAATACTACCTTAAAACATGTACTGTATTTGTCATGGGCCATCTTTCCCCAAATCCCCTGGTTCCATGAATGATTTAAACTCACACATTCTACAGCTAGATATTTCTTTTTCCTCCTGTGCATTTATATTTTTTAACACAAGGAACAGAAAGAACTTCAATTGCCACTAGAGTCTTCAAATTCTCCATAGACCACTTTGCAGATTCCCAGAGTGAGATCTTCCTTCATGGTTGAGGACTGCATATCATACAAGCCTTGGATCATCGCTAGACACTGCTTAGTGACAGAAGAAGTCTCAAGCTCCATAGTTGCAGCATGTGCAAAGATGTGCCTGGTGAAAGTTTCAGAATAAGCAATGGGCAAAGAAATGAAACTGCAGAACATAGGTAAGATATAGGAAATTTCTGGTTTATTTTGTATGTAGAATTCTCTCAAGAACCCTATGCAGCAATGAAGGTGGCAAGTGCATAACTGAATTTGGCTTGCCAAATTTGCTCAGGGCTTGCCAAATTTGCTCAGGGGAACAAACTGGGCACATCACAAACTATTGTTGGTGAGCAGATCCTATTCGTTTTCCAGTATTTGAATTTTTAAAACTTACAATTTGTTCTCATACCTTCTTAGCCAGTATAATAACTGACCATTTTGGCTAGAAGATTCTGAAAGTTGTAGACCAAGAAGAAATTAGAAGAAATTTGAGAATTCTGAAAGTACAAGTAAAAGAGTTCTCATAATTTAGCATGGTGTTTCTCTTTAGAAACTCCAGTAAGCCATTCCACTTGCTCCACTATCTGTAATTACTGACCATGCTCAGTCCTCACTGGACTTACTTTTGTTTCCTCAGTCCTCACTCCAACCTTTGAAGACTTTGTTTGTACTTCTGTAAAACTTAGTGGCTTGTCAAGTATACCAATCCATCTTCTCTTATTTTTCAGTGACCCTTGACTCCACCCTTATCTGTGCTGGCTATTAGGAAAAAATGACTACCTAAAAATAAAAGAATCTTAAAATCAGAATTAATTTTTTCTCACCACTAGTAATGGAATTGAATTGAATAGAATACCTTTATTGTCATCGTACATTGCACAACAAAATTAAATTTATTTATTTATTTATTTATTGCATTTGTTGACCGCCGTTCTCAGCCCCTTAGGGCGACTCACGGCGGTGTACAACATATAAAAAACAGTTTACAATAAGCCATAGCATAACGAATATCTACAAACTCTAAAAAAACTCTAAAATTACTACAGCAAAACAGCAGAGAGGAAACAACCAAGCACATCTTAACACCTCTCAACAGAACATTTTCCCAGGCTCAGCCAAGCCTTCAAATGCTAATGAAGGTGGTCAGACACCTAGTTCCAGCAGAGAAGAGCTCTTTGCCCCACCCCAGTCATTCCACAGATATATAAACCCATTTTCCTATTTGCAACAGACCTCACTACCTCTGAGGATGCTTGCCATAGATGCAGGCGAAACGTCAGGAGAAACGCCTCTAGAACATGGCCCTATAGCCCGAAAAAACCTACAAGAACCTATGAATAATTATAATATTAATAATACAAACAGAATGTGAATGCTAGGATCCTTCTGCACTCCTTTTTGTTAGAGGAAAAAGATAAGGCAAAAATATTGAACTAGCAATGATCAATAAAAGATTGCAGCACAGTTTGGAGATATTACTTTAATGGTCCTCTAAAAATCCTAGTGATAGGACAATTCAGATTCAATTATAATATTACAGTTTCTTCTTTCCCTTGATATTTTTCTTTTATGAAGAAATAACGAGGCAAGGGGGGAGATATCACTAGGACTCTTCAAGTGGGGCTGAAGATTTCAACAGCAGTCCAATTGTTTTCAAATTACTTCAAAGAGGACCCTACAAGGTCAGAATCACCCAGAAATGAACCACTGCAGTCTAAGATTTGTGCAAAGTAAATGTACGGCCTGAAATTGTTTCTGTTAAGCAGCCTTTCCAGCATTGAAATCATAGTTGATTGGTTCCATAACTGAAAAAAGGAAATACCAGCTTTCCAAGACAATTGGAAGCAACAGCCAGAAACCATTCAGAAGATGACATTTCCATGAAATTACTTACTGTGAGTTGAAATAGCCAGTGATGGGTCCTTTCGTGCCTTACAAATATAGCACTATGATCCCACTTTACTCCCATGGCAATATCCTATGAAATTCTGCGTTTGATGAGAAACTAGGGGAGCTCTTTCGCTGACAATTGTAAGCACACACCCCCCCCCCTGCTCCATACTTCAAATTCCACCCAGCATTCTATAGGATGGAGTCACTGCATCCTATAGAATAGTAATAGTGTTATGGCATCATAACACTATTACTATGCAGCATGGAAGGACTTTCTTGAAGATTTCATGGTATATATATGGATGGTTTACACAAATCTACTAATTTAGTTCACAGCCTGATCTGATTATTTGGATTGGTCCCTTGCTTGATTCGTATTGAACCACCAGTTCCAAATCTCAAATCTGGAGTAAAATTCTGAAATTTGAATCTTTGAGTCTCCCATTATGCTGCACTGGGGAACCAAAACAGCTGTCCCATTTCTGAGTTTTCTTATGGATTGTTTTCAATCTTACTGTATATAAAATTTGGAGACAAAGCTATCTTACAAATTTTGATAACTTAGATGTTCTTGGGCGAGTCATTAAATTGCTTTTCCCCAAAAAACAGAAATAGATTTTTAAAGCATGCACTGTAAGCTGAGTTCATGCTGTTACCTGCACTTTGGTGTTTCTCATATGCAACTAGTGCAGTTACAGACTCTCTCTCTCTCTCTGTGTGTGTGTGTGGTTTACATGCATACACCTGATAAAAGCCTAAGGAAAGCAAGTTAAATTGAAAGAAAAAAATAAGGTACACTTCACAGGGAGGGTCCAACACTCTTTATAAAAAGTGCCATCCTAGAACCCACTCTTCTCCATCCAAAAAGCTCCCCCAAAGTACAGGTACATTAAAGAGCAAAGCTGACAACCGAAAGTAATACTTGAGGATTCTTACTCTGAGCTCCTCTCATGCCTCTGAGCAAGCTACAAACTACACAGTCCCATAGGATGCAGCCAAGGAAGTGAAAGCGGAAGCAGAATGGTATCATGATGTATTGTGAAAGGGCTCCAGAAGAGAACAATTCAGCAGCCTGGCACCATATCGCCCTTCTTCCCAGGTACTGTGATTGGAGACTGTTGGTAAAACGTGGGTCCCAGGTTGAAACACAAAGCTACTTATTTCCAGCTCACCATTTTCTCAGCATGCCAATTTCCTTTAATAGTGTGATCTCAAACACATAGACTGTTTTCCCTTCCCTCTTTGGAATGGCCCAGATTGGTCCACATTGCTTTGTAGCATGCCTATCCATTCTAGATCCAAGCTATAAACCAATCCAAATTAGCTTGAATCAACTCAATTGTAATAAGTATAGCAAGAGTAGTAAACTGTTCCTGGGCAGGGAGGGAGGGATGGGGATGTAGTGGTGGTGGTATTGGGGGAAAATTCTGGTATTTTGACTGCTGAATTTTGAAGATTGTATGTTTCTATGTATGCTATAATATTTTTTTAAAAAAAGAATAAATTCAGAACTAATTGTCAGAAGCAGTTACACAGGCTTCACTGGCACTATGCTATACTATGCTATTTGTAGTATTATATAAAATGATGAGATAATATTAAATCTTTGCAGAGATTTGTTCGTTTTTTTCCACAGGACTACAAGACATATCAAAGGAAAACCATAGCTTGGTGCTTGAGTTTGTCCTCCTGGGTTTAACTAACTCCTCACAGCTGCGGATCCCTTTCTTCATATTTTTCCTAGTAGTTTACCTGTTCACCTTTCTGGGGAATCTTGGCATGATCCTATTAATCAGGAGTAACTCCCAGCTTCATACCCCCATGTACTACTTCCTCAGCAAACTGTCCTTTGTTGATCTCTGCTATTCCTCTGTGGTCACTCCTAAACTCTTGATGGATTTTGTAGTGAAAAAGAACACAATTTCTTGGGGTGGCTGTGCTGCGCAGATGTGGTTTTTTGGCTTTTTTGTCGCCATAGAGTGTCATCTGCTGGCTTCCATGGCTTATGACCGATACATAGCAATTTCCAAGCCTCTTCTCTATACGGTCATTATGTCTAGGAACGTTTGTGTCTTTTTGACAGCAGTACCATATCTCTTAGGGCTGCTGAATGGTACTGTACATACCAGCTTAACGTTTCAGTTAATTTTCTGCAAAGCCACAATCAATCATTTCTTCTGCGACATCCCTGCTGTGATATCACTCTCCTGTTCTGATACAAGCTTCAACTTGGCTGTGCTTTTTGGGCTTTCTTTTGCCCAAGGTACTCTTAGTGGCTGTATTGTTATCATCTCCTACATCTACATTCTTGCTGCCACCCTTAAAATCCGATCCACTGAAGGAAGGTGGAAAGTTTTCTCCACTTGCTCTTCCCATCTCACTGCCGTTTCTCTATTCTATGGGACCCTTTTCTTTATCTATGTGAGGCCCAGTTCTGGTTCAACAGTAGAAGAAGACAAGATTGTTTCCATGTGCTACACCATTATGATCCCCATGTTGAACCCCTTGATCTACAGCCTGAGGAACAAGGAGGTGAAAGATGCAGTGAAGAGAATTCTCAGGAGGAAACATTTCCCATAGAATCTGAGAATCCGAGAATTATGGAGTTGGAGGAGACCACATGGACCATCCAATCCAACCCCCCCCCCCATATCATCTATTTTACACCTGCAGAAATGGAGATACAGTCATTCCTCCACATTTGTGAGTTATTCATGGATTGCTATATATCCTGCAACCTCGACTACTGCCCTTTGTTGTTGCTATGTGCATTCAAGCCATTTCCAGCTTATGGCAATTCTAAGGTGAACCTATCATAGGCTTTCTGAGCCTAAAAATGTATGACTTCCACAAGGACATCCATGGATTTTCATGTCCAAGGAGGACACTTAACCCTATTCTCCAGGATTATAGTTCAGTGCAAAAACTCCGTGCTGGCTCATTTTTTTAATGCTTACAATTTTTATTAATATCTATGGCTACCCACCTGCTCAGGGATACCGCTCTCCTAACTCTCACAAACACGGAAATACAATTGTACAGGGTTAGTCAAAATGAATAGGCCAATAAGAAAATTAATTTTAGACGAATGTATGTTTATTGTAACCAAACTACAGCTACGTAGCGACAGATAAACTATCAAAGTTTTGTCTCACCTTCAGAGATGTTCGATATGGGCGCCCTGTGTGACACGGCAGATGTCCAAGCGATAGTCCAGTTCATTCCACATCCGTTGCAGCACATCCGACGTAATGGCATCGAATGCAGCAACGTCTGGGAAGGTGTTCGTTGAGGTCCTAACCCTAACCCAACCCTAACCCTAACCCTAACCCTATCCCTAACCCTATCCCACCCTAACCCTAACCCTAACCCTAACCCTAACCCTAACCCTAACCCTAACCCTAACCCTTGAAATTCTCGCTGGACCGTAATTACTGACATTGTTTTAGCAAATGTCATCACACAAAACGCCTTCTCTTTGCTTGATTCCGCCATTTTGAAAACAGCGCCCCCTAGCGACGCCTAGCGGCATTAACGTACATGTGTGTTGCTCAAAAAAAACTTTGATAGTTTATCTGTCGCTACGTAGCTGTGGTTTGGTTACAGTAAACATACATTCGTCTAAAATTAATTTTCTTATTGGCCTATTCATTTTGACTAACCCTGTATTTCAATAATCTGTATTTGGGACATTCTAAATGATAAGGGCAACCAATGCAGTGTAGTGGTTGAGCATTGGACTACAACTCTGAAGATCAAGGTTTGAATCTGTACTCAGCCATACAAGCTCGCTGGACAATCTTGGGCAAGACAAACGATCTCACCCTTAGAGCAAAGTAAAGCAAAGAAAACCACCTCTGAACAAATTTTGCCAAGAAAAATCCAAGATAATTTCTCTTCAGGGCTGTCAAACGTGAAAAATGACTATGAAGGCAAACAACAACATAACAGGACTATAGATTAAAGTCTGAAAATAATTTTGGAAACATTGCAAAATATGTCATTTGCTATGGTTTTAATATCAAAAAAGATGGGGGCATAGAGAAGACTTTTATTATTTCTTCCTGTAGATACAAGAAATGTATTCCCAGACAACACTTTGCAATTGTGTATATTCAGAAACATTACAAGAGCACCCTTCATCACATATCACAAAGCTATGGGAGTGTATGGCACTCCTCCTCAGTTACAATTGATAATTGCCTTCCTGAAAGAGAAGAAATCAAGCAATCTGAGGGCTTGATGTGCACCATTGGCTAAGATCAATTGGGAAAAGAGCCCAAGGAAAAAAATGAAGTGGGTTATATAAGGAATCAAATTATACAAAGTCATAACAGATTCAATATTTGCATATTATGTTGATTCTATTTAAATAATTAAATTCATAGTAGTAGCCATTCAGCTAGCGAGACATCCAGCGATGCAGTCTGTTTCTCCTTAAATATCCATTTGCCCAATCGAGTGGAAATATGCTGCAACTCCACTAGCAAATGAGTTCCAATCACATTGCCACACCTTCCTCATTCCTCCCTGAGTGCCTCATGGGACTGCAACAGCCACTGGGAAGAGGAAGCAGATTCTGGCCAGCTGGCCAGCCAACTACAAAAAAGCTACAAAAAAGGCCATGCAGTGAGTTACACTGTTCTCAAATTCAGGGAAGTGTTTTGTGGTTTGATATCATTCCTTGCTTATTATAGAAATCTGGATCCAAGACACACCATGGAAACTATTAGCAAAGCCTTTTAAAAATAAAATTACATCCTTATTTTAAAATGCCTTTCAAGTTATCTGCCTAAAGTTGTTCACTGTCCTTAGAAAAGTAATCAATTGCTATTATTATTATTATTATTATTATTATTATTATTATTTTCTCCTCATGGTTCAAGGCAAGTTACAACATAGCTAAAACACATATCATCATAAACATTACATAAAATACACATTCTAAAATGTATTTCTACTATAAATATATATACACACAGAGAGAGAACAAAGATTAAAATGTGAACACAAGATGTGAGTTTAAAATCATGATTAATAAATTCATGAGCAGACCTGCCAGAAGAGATGGGTCTTCAGATGTGTATTAAATTTTGACAGTTCATTTAGCTGTCAGATATCTTCTGGCAGGTCATTCCAGAGACCTGGGGCGGCCGATGAAAAGGTTCACTGCGTGATGTTCATCAGTCAAGTTCTGGCTGGTTGGTGTAGATGCCCCTCAGAGGACTGAAATGTTCAGAGTGGATTGTATGGGTGAAGGTGACCCTGTAGGTAACCTGGACCCTTTAAAGATCAAAACCAACACTTTGCCCAGAATCTTAACTGGCAACAAATGAAGAGACTGTAGTGTGGGTGTAATATGCTCACTCCAGGATGTTCGTGTAACCAAGCTGGCTGTCGTATTTTGAACCAACTGGAGTTTCTGAACTTGGTACAAAGGTAGTCCAATGTAAAGCACATTGCTGAAGTCCAACCTTGAGGTTATCAGCATGTGCACTATTCAAAAGGAATCCATGAGAAAGGGAAAATACTCAAGGCCAAACTTGCCCTGTGTTCACAAGATCAGTAGCACTCGAAGGTGTCTTCTTTTTTGACAAAGACAGCAAATTCAAGTTAGACATTTAATTTGTGCTGAACCATTTTCAGGTGATTTTTTAAAAATGAAGTTTGTGTGCATATGCTGTGGATGAAAAGATAATTGCATCTCAACCACCTGACAGTACAAATACAGTCTTAAAGCTTTGAGCATAAGATCTAGATGAAGATAAAGACCTTTCTTTGTACATGAACAATGGAGATGTCAAGGACACCTCATTCAAGAAGTGTGTAGTACAATACTATCCACGTCTATTTAGAAGTACTACTAAGTTCACCAGTATTTCCTCTAGGTAAGTATTATTACCAGAAACATGCCTTAACTTATCTTACTTATCAAATGAATTTATATCCTGCATTTCCTCAAAGTTGGGAGTCAAGGCAACTTAACAATGATTTTTAAAATATCAAGCAAAATCATTAGTTTGTAAAAGTTAAAAAGATTGAAATAACAATACAATATAACAATAACAATATTATTAATAAAATTCAGTTCACTTAAAACATATAGATTAAAATACGTCACACTACCTGACCCACACGCACCTACACTACTGCTCCATAATTTAAACCCAAAGGCCTGTTTGAATAAAAACCTCTTTCTATCAGCAGGAGAATATTGCAGAGAGGGGACCAGCTGAACTTCTGATGGAAGGGAGTTCCACAGCTTGGAGGCAACCACAGAAAAGACTATCTCCCAACACCTCACCAACCATGCATGCAAAGACATAAAGCTATCCATTGTAAATCGTAAAGCTCACACCAGTTTGTATAAGGAAATGTGGTCTTTTGGGCTATATCGTGCATTAAATGTCAAAAATGGCACTTTGAATTCTACTTGGAAACAGTCCCGTAGCCAATGGAACGGTTTCATCAGGGGAGTCACATGATCCCTGTTATCTGCCCTCTGTCAAAGCCTGGCTGCAGTATTTTGGATCTCCTGGACTTTCCAAACAATTTGCAAAAGCTGCCTAAAGGAGAGTGGTTTGTAGTAGTCCAAACACGGTGTAATGAAGACATGTGACACCAAGGTAAGATCTCACTTATCAAGGAATGGATGTAGCTGATGCACTAGGTGTAACTAGGCAATGCACTCCTGGCTGAAACCTGAGCATCCAGTTTCAGATAAGGAGGGCATTCTAACTGCCTATCCCACATCATAGCAGTTTCCATCTTCTTTGAGATCTTGCTCTTTATCTAGGGCAGGGGTCCTCAAATTAAGGCCCAGGGGCCAGATACGGCCCTCCAAGGGCATTTACCCAGCCCTCGCTCAGGGTCAGCCTAAGGCTGAAATGACTTATTTATTTATTTATTTCACAGTTTTCTATACCGAGCTTCTCAACCTCATTGAGGGACTCAGCCCGGTTTCCAGCCATAAAAACATATACACTCATTAAAATATCATATATCACAATTACAAAAACAACTTTAAAAACACTATATATAAAACTACAGTGGTCAGTCATCCTATTAAGATGGAACTACATTAACTTCCATCCAGGGTCCTCATTCATCGAAGGCCTGACTCCACAGCCACGTCTTCACCCGTTTCCTAAATGTTATGATGGATGGGACGGTTCTGGCCTCCAGAGGGAGAGAGTTCCAGAGTCGCGGGGCCACCACCGAGAAGGCCCTGTCCCTCGTCCCCACCAGACACGCTTGCGAGGCCGGTGGGACCGAGAGCAGGGCCTCTCCAGATGATCTTAATAATCTTGATGGTTCGTAGGGGAGAATACGTTCGGAGAGGTAAACAGGGCCGGAGTCGTTTAGGGCTTTATAGGTCAACACCAGCACTTTGAATTGTGCTTGGAAGCTAATTGGCAGCCAGTGGAGCTGGCGTAACAGCGGAGTGGTGTGCTCCCTGTACCCAGCCCCCGTTAGTAATCTGGCTGCCGCGCGTTGGACTTGCTGCAGCTTCCGGGCAGTCTTCAAAGGCAACCCCACGTAGAGAGCGTTGCAGTAGTCTAAGCGGGATGTAACCAAAG